CAGCAGGGGAGATGGCAAACACCTTAGGCCCACGAGACGTTTAGAAATGAAGAATGAAAATCCATCATTTACATCTCACTCTCATCTTAAACAACATCTGATTTATTAGAGGCAAGTGAGTTTAATTTTTAATATATATTAATGTCTTTAGAATATATTTTTTGCTTATTTTCTAAAGGGGAGAGAGTGATTTATAAGATTCAACATAATGTGAAGTTTCAAATAAAAACAGAAGATGTCAGAGAAGAGGAGCAGATGGAGAACATCTGTCTATCAATGCCAATACATTCATTGACTTCATGGAAAAAGTGAAAAACAATTCCTGGGAAACATTCATTTCTTATTCATAAATGACTGCCCTAAATATTGCTTCTATATTGCATGGAATTTAGTTTAATATAATGTCTATTTGTTATCCTGGTGTATAAATTCTTAGTTTGTTCATAAGTCTTTTATGACTACCATGATTTTCTAATGAGACTGAAAACTCCTTGCTGCCACTGAATGTTTTCCACATTTAAAAAAACCCACACTAATGTAATAGCACTCCAACCAGTCTTAAGGATTAACTTACTGAGAAGCCTGGCTAGAAGTTTGTCAATTTTGTTTATTTTTTCAAAAAACCAACTCTTGGTTTCCTTGATCTGTTCAACTGTTTTTTCTATATGGCTTATTTATGCCCTGATTTTTATTATTTCTCTTCTCCTACTGGGTTTGGGGTGTTCCTGTTGCTCTCCCCCTAGTTCCTTTAAGTGCGCTGTTAGATTTTGTACTTGTGCTTTTTCTAAGTTTTGAATAGGCCTGGGATGCAATGTACTTTCCTCTTAGGACTGCCTTTGCCGCATCCCATAGAGTTTGGATTGTTGTATTTTCATTTTCATTTGTTTCCATGTATTTTTAAATTTCTTCTCTAATTGCCTGATTGGCCCATTCGTTCTTTAGTAGGGTGTTCTTTAACCTCCATTTTTTTGGAGGTTTTCCAGACTTCTTCCTGTGATTGATTTCCAGTTTCATAGCATTGTGATCTGAAAGTGTGTATCGTATGATCTCAATTCTTTTATATTTATTGAGGGCTGCTTTATGTCCCAGTATGTGATCTATCTTGGAGAATGTGCCATGAGCACTTGAGAAGAAAGTGAATTCCCATGACCTCAGGATCTAGATCATTTTCTCACACCATACACAAAAATAAACTCAAAATTGATATAGGACATCAATGTGAGACAGGAAACCATCAAAACCCTAGAGGAGAAAGCAGGAAAAAAACCTCTTTGACCTCAACCACAGCAATTTCTTACTTGACACATCCTTAAAGGCAAGGAAATCAAGAGCAAAAATGAACTACTGGGATCTCATTAAGATAAAAGGCTTCTGCACGGCAAAGGAAACAATCCATAAAACTAAGAGGCAAATGACGGAATGGGAACAGATAGTTGCAAATGACATATGAGATAAAGGACTAGTATCCAACATTTATAAGGAACTCACCAAACTCCACACCCAAAAAACAAACAATCCATTGAAGAAATGGGCAGAACACATGAACAGACACTTCTCCAAAGAGGACATCCAGATGGCCAACAGACACATGAAATGATGCTCAGCGTCCCTCCTCATCAGGGAAATACAAGTCAAAACCACACTGAGATGCCACCTCACGCCGGTCAGAGTGGCTAAAATGAACAAATCAGGTGACTCTAGATGCTGGCGAGGATGTGGAGAAACGGGCACCCTCCTACACTGTTGGTGGGAATGTAAACTGGTGCAGCTCCTCTGGAAAACAGTGTGGAGGTTCCTCAAAAAGTTAATAGTAGGACTTCCCTATATCCCAGCAATAGCACTGCTAGGAATTTATCCAAGGGATACAGGAGTGCTGATGCATAGGGGCACATGTACCCCAATGTTCATAGCAGCACTCTCAACAATAGCCACAACATGGAAAGAGCCTAAGGGTCCATCAACGGACGAATGGATCAAGAAGATGTGGTTTATCTATACAATGGAATACTACATGGCAATGAGAAAGAATGCAATCTGGCCATTTGTGGCAACATGGATGGAAGTTGAGGGTGTTATGCTGAGCGAAATAAGTCAGGCAGAGAAAGACAGGTACCATATGTTTTCACTTATAGGTGGATTAGTAGAAACTTAACAGACGACCATGGGGGAGGAGAAGGGGAAAAATAGTTGGGGAGAGGGAGAGAGGCAAACCATGAGAGACTCTTGAATGCTGAGAACAAACTGAGGGCCGATGGGGGTGGGGAAGAGGAGAAGGGAGGTTATGGGCATGGAGGAGGGCACTTGTGGGGATGAGCACTGGGTGTTATATGGAAACCAACTTGACAATAAACTATTTAAGAAAAAAAATCCTGGTTGGAATCCCATATATAATTTTTTTTAAAATGATAGTTATTAATCTTAAAATAAATTTCTACCAGAATACATAAAAAAAAAAAAAAAAAAAAGGCGGGTTAATGTATTGCAAACGTAGGCACTCTTTGCTTGCAGACATAAACTCTTAATCTGTAGCCAAACTAACTTACTTTCCCCGAAATTTTCAGACCCCTGACCTTGAAGAGTGAAGAACCAAACTTACCCAGAACTTAAGTCCTGACTATATTTGAAAACAGCTGCCACTGATACCAGCAATTCTGTTCAGGGTCACATCAACACAGAACCAGCTTCCAGGGCACATGCTTCTCCTGCATACAGCCCCCCTCCCTTTTCCCATGCCTTCCCCTTTAAAACCCTCCATCTTCACCTGGACTGAGAAGATGATCTTTGAGATGTTACTCCACCATTTTCCCAGGTTGCCAGCTTCGTGTATAAAGCAACATTTCCTCTTCCACCATCACTTGTCTCTTGAGTATTGTTTTTTGTGCAGCAAGAAGCTGAACCTAAGTTTGGAACCAATTCTCTGTCTGGTAATAGTAACACCTAGCACATAATTGCTCAGACTATTACCTTGACTCCACAGGCCCTCTATTTGCTACTTCCCTGTGCTGATATTCTCTTACAGTGGATTTCAAAACCACTTGGCCAGTTGTGTTTTACTTGTCTTTGCATTTCCTATCCTTTGACATCATCTTTCAGGGAACACAAAGGGTGGAAAAACAGCTTCGATATCCCTCATTTAGTTACCCTCCATTGGGCTGCCTTATACCCAAAAGGTCTGCTACTGCATTACAACTTTTCAGGGAGCAGAATTACATTCTTAATGTAGGTGACACATAATTGGGAAAAAGCATCTCCAACACACTTCCTTTCTTGTTGCATCCACAGCTCATTTAAATAAATTATGATGTTCTATTCTTTTTATCATTGTTTAATATTTAAACACAGATGCCATTTCTCACCTTTACCACCAGGACACCTATTAGGAAGTTTTGCTTTTCTCTGTTAATGAGATAGCTTTTCTGACTTATTTTAATGTGGAAATGTGCTATATTTTACTCTCCTATCAAAAATTCAGACTATCCTTTAAAGGTATTTACCACTAATTATCATAGTTTACATTTTAATCTTTATTATTAGTGAAAAAATTATTATGGGATTTTAAGAGCCAATAAACTATTCACATTAACATTAAGGTCAGTAGAAATGGAGACTTTATTTATTTATTTATTTTATTTTTTATTTTTTTTTTTTACAAATAGTTTATTGTCAAATTAGTTTCTACATAACACTCAGTGCTCATCCCCAAAGTGCCCTCCTCCATGCCCATCCCCCCCTCCCCCCCACATCCATCAGTCCTCAGTTTTTGTCAGCATTCAAGAGTCTCTCATGGTTTGCCTCTCTCCCTTTCCCACAACATTTCCGCCCTTCTTCTCCACCTTGTTCCTCCGTCAAGTTCCTCCTAATCCTCCTATACGTGCAAACATATGATATTTGTCCTTCTCTGCCTGACTTATTTCGCTCAGCATAACACCCTCAAGGTCCATCCATGTTGCTACACATGGCCAGATTTCATTGTTTCTCATTGCCATGTAGTATTCCATGGTATAGATAAACCACATCTTCTTGATCCATTCATCTGTTGATGGACACTTAGGCTCTTTCCATGTTTTAGCTATTGTGGAGAGGGCTGCTATGAACATTGGGGTACATGTGCTCCTATGCCTCAGCATTTCTGTATCCCTTGGGTAAATTCCTAGCAGTGCTATTGCTGGGTCATAAGGGAGTTCTATTGTTAGTTTCCTGAGGAACCTCCACACTGTTTTCCAGAGGGCTGTACCAGTTTACATTCCCAAAGCCTTCTGCACCCCACACCCTGGCAAAAGAAAATTAATTGCAAAATAGTAGGTCATAGGCATAAATAAATAATCAAAACAGACAAAAAAATCCCATAAAACAAAGCAAAAACCTCTATAAAACAAAAATTCCCAAACATCCAAATACATTAATAGATGAATCACTTCTTTTCATCTAATTACATACTTCATAATATGCATATAATAGTCACTTAATGAAGTCAAATTGGGGGATTATTATTTTCAATATATTAGAAAAGAAATAAAAGCTTAAAATAAAGTTTAGAGTAAAGGATAGAAAGAAACTAGAAATTAAAATGCAAAGGACATTTCACACCAACTTCTTTCATGTTGAGATTATCAATAATATTTTATTCTTATTAGGTATGTGAAAAGTTGTACAACTCTCATCATAACTAAAATCAATTTATATAAATATAGTCAACATTGGGAATCCTAGTTAAGTTTACGGATATGATGCAAATATAGACTTAATTAAAATTTTGATTAGAAAAGGCAATTCTGATCATCCTTTTCCCATACCAATTAAAACATTAAAAATATTTTTACTTTTGAATCAGTTGTTTTGCCTCAGATATCACTGAGGCATATGATTACCCAAATATAAGTAGTTAAAACATATGCATGATGGAATTTTACATTAAGGGTCTGATTATATGTAGCCTTAGGAATCAGGGAAGAAAAGTCAGACTTTTTTTGAAAGTTATACTTTCTTAAATTAAGTCCTACCTGCAGATGTTGTTACAATTTCTGAAGTGTTTCTGAGGCCCATAAAGTCAAACTGATAAAGGCGCCAGGATTTCTGATCAGCTGCCTCAACTGAATTTTTTCTCCATCTATAAATCATTTCTTCTTTGGGGTAGCCATCTGAAAACACAGAACAAATATTTACCTTTGAATACATAAGTTTATAAAACATTAATGTCAAAATTATAATTCTGTTCATTTGACAGAAGTTAAAATTTTAGGTCATATTTCTTCTAAAAAATTTACTCAAAGACACTAAAACTCAAAAATTAAAGGGTAAAGGCCATTCAACCCAGAGGGTTCCTGCTGCAGATCTGCATGATCAGCAAGATATTCTCAGTCAGAAGTCTAGTCGTCATCTGTGTGGACCCCCATATAAGGGGGCTACTTGTCTCTATTTCTTTAACTGTGGTGACTTTTAGTCACCATAGGCTGTGGTCAACTTTCAAAGAGTGGAGATGCTGGTCAGAGTGTCACTAGTTTCCAGACTCTGAGATACAACTATCTGGCCTACACCACCTTCACCTTCCCTAAAACTTAGTCCATTCAGATCTCAGGAAAGACTAATTTAATAAGGCAATCACTCCAGAATTCCAGGGGTCAACTGACTCTCAGTCCTGCTTGGATCTTTGTTAGAGACCAACACTCACCTTATTAATCTCTCCAGGAAACAAGATGCTATTGTGTTTCTGCTGCCTTATGCCTAATGTGGCAACCTGTTCAAACCCAGGTGTCATGGACAGGTGTTGTTAACAGGGCCCTGTAGGCTTCCTGACCCAAGCACAAGATTGTCCCAATTACTGCTTCTCAACTCCTGGGTCCCCACTTCTGAACAGCACTTGGGCAACTCTTACTTTTTGGGGTACTGTCCTGTGTCCAGGCTCTATAACAAGGTATGTGGGATAGGGCATGCCTCATCTAAAAGCAGGCCTATAACCCATGTTGTCACTCAACACATGACAACATTAGTATTGTTAGCCCTTCACTGATTCATGTAGACACTGATGGCATGACTGTGGTAGTAGGAAATGTATGCATTTATATTTAAGATGGTAGCGAATCCTGAATATAAAAAGCACCATACTGGTATGCACATACTAGTACAAACATATTAATAAAGCAATTGAAAGTTCCTAATTAAACATTGCAAAGATCAGTTTACAAAATCCTTAAAGACAGTATGCATTCTTGGTATTTTCCCTTCTGCCCATCACTGCTAACTTGGCTCCCTCATTCAAAGACTAAAATAGAGCACAGGTATACCCCCAGCTTTTTTTTTTTTAATGTTTTATTTATTTCTAGGGGAGAGAGAGAGACAGCGTGAAAAGGGGAGGGTCAGAGAGAGAGGGAGTCACAGACTGAAACAGGCTCCAGGCTCTGAGCTGGCAGTCAGCACAGAGCCCAACGCGGGGCTCAAACCCACGAACCGCGAGATCATGACCTAAGCGAAAGTCGGACGCTTAACCAACTAAGCCACCCAGGCGCCCCTACCCCCAGCTTTTTTATTGTGTATTGTACTGTGAAATTATTGTCACCAATGCTGGTATAATTTCTCTCCTTTAACTTGACAATGTTGATATCAAGGCACTAAGACTCGGCTCCAGACATTTCTATGAAGTAAACAGACATTTTACTTGGCCATTAGTCACTGTCCTGCTTGCTTTATCTTCCTATCAGACTGTCATAAAGGATTTTATGCTATAATTCTTTCTTTTTAACTTGTTTCATTAAACAGATTTATTGACATGCAATCTGCATACATAAAACATGCACAGTTTAGTGGTTTTTAGTATATTCTCAGAGTGGTGGAACTATTTTCATAATGTAATTTTAGAATATTTTCATCACCTCAAAATGAAACCTCAGATCCACTAATAGTCACTTCCTATTCCCCTTGCACACATCACACACATCACCTGTCTCATCCAGTCCTTGGCATCCACTAATATATTTTCCATCTATAGATTTACCTATTTGGGACATTGCATATAAATGGAATCATACATGTTATCTTTTAAACTGACCTCCTTCACTTAGTGTAATGCGCTTAAGTTTCACTCATACTGTAGCCCCATCAGTTGTTCACCCTTATTTATATTCTACCACATGAATATACCATATTTTGCTTACCCATTTGTCAGCTGATTGGCAGTTTGCTTGAGTGTACTTCTACAATCTTATGAATAATGCTGTTATGAACATTTGACATTTAACAAATAAGGAAGAATTTACTCAAGACTATTGTAATAGGATGGGGCACCTGGATGACTCAGCCAGTTAAGTGTCTGACATTGGCTCAGGTCATGATCTCACAGTTCATGGGTTCGAGCCCCACATCAGGCTCTGTGCTGACAGCTCAGAGCCTAAAGCCTGCTTTGGATTCTGTGTTTCCCTCTCTCTCTGCCCCTCCCCAGCTCATGTTCTGTCTTTGTCTCTCTCAAAAATAAATAAGTATTAATTTCTTTTAAAAAAAAAAAGACTACTATAATGGAGAATAAAGTTAGAACTCAACTCCATCAAAATAAAGAACAATAGAATTTGTTTGTTTGTTTTTTAAGGTAGGGTGAGCAAGTGGAAAGCAACAGGAGGATATTACAAAGAGGTCATAGTCCACCAGTGTTTGCTGATAAGCTTCACATATCTTTATGATGAGAGGTAATTTTGCAACTTGGAACAAAGCCCCACTGAAGTTAGGCTATTACCTTCCTATAGAAACTAGGAGATTGGGATATTGCCTTTCTTGAATATATTTTGAAGAGATGGCTCCCAGATCCTTGAGAAAGTCATTTATTATGAAATTAGCAAGAACCCTTTAAAAAGATTTACATCTCAAAGTGTCAGAGAAAGAACTTATAATTACATTTTTTAAAAGTAAATGCTGTCAGAGAAGGAAAGTCAGGAGCCTAGCAGGAAAAGGCTTGTGTGAAGTTTAGTCAAGGTGAGGGGTACTTAAAGCATCTTGGTCACCAGGTAACCTCAGCATGGTGTACAGTAAAACAAAGTAAAAATGTATTTTCTGCTGCTACTGTCCTACTTCTCTGCTTGTCTTCAAGACAAAACTTCTTGAAAGGGCTACTTATTGTCGTTGTCTCTGATAAATCACGTCCTGTTCACTCTTCAATACATTCTATTACTCCATCTAATGCTCTCCTGTGACTAGTCAACATATTACCAAATCCAGTGTTCAGGTTCTCCTTCTGTAACTTACTTGATTTCAGCAACATTCAATAGAATTAACTCCTTCTTCTTGAAACTATATTCCCTTGCTTTCTGTTTTCTTTCACCCGCTTCACTTGATGTTCCTTTCCTGACTCTTTTGCTGGCTTTTCCTTTCTGATGTCTGAAAGTTGAAGTGCCTCAGAGTTTGACCTGGACTTCTTCCTTTTTTTTTTTTTTTTTGACAACACTTTCTCTCTAGGTAATATTTTCCTGCTCATTATGTTAAGTACCATCTTTATGCTGATGACTCCTATGTCAATGCCTTAGTGTTGACATTTTTCTACATCTCAAGAATCAGGTATCCAGCTCTCTTTTCTCATAGGATGTCTAAAAGCACCACATGTTTAACCTGTTTCAAGGACAAATTTCCCTTCCCTTAACTCAAACTTGTTTCTTTTCCACTTTTCTACTTAAGCAAATAGCAGTATTATCCACCTAATTGTGCAAGAGTTATGAACACCTGTGTATGAGATTTTGTGTTGACTTAGGTTTTAAATTTGCTTTGGGTATATAAATAGGAGTGGAATTGTTGAGTCATAGAGTAACTATATTTAACATTTTTTAAAGTTTATTTATTGGAGTGCCTGGGTGGCTCAGTCAGAAAGTGTCTGACTTTGGCTCAGGTCATGATATCATAGTTTGTGAGTTCGAGCCCTACATTGGGCCTGCACTGGGCTCTGTGCTGACAGTTCAGCCTCTATGCTGACCGCTCAGAGGCTAGAGCTTGCTAGAGCCCCCCTCTCTCTATCCTTCCCCAGCTTGCAATCTCTCTCTCTGTCAAAAATGAAGAAAAGCTAAATTTTTTTAAGCTTATATATTTTGAGAGAGAGAGAGAAAGAGAGAGAGAGAGAGAGTTAGCATGCATAGGAGACAGAGCGGGGGAGGGACAGAGCAAGAGAGGGATAGAGAATCCCAAGTAGGCTTCCCAATGTCAGCTCAGAGCCAATGTCAGGCTCCATCTCATGAACCATGAGATCATGACCTGAACCGAAATTAAGAGTCAGACACTTAACCAACTAGACACCCAGGAGTCCCTATATTTAATATTTTTGGGAAACTGCCAAACTGTTTTTCAAGGCAATAACTTAAAATCCTACCAGCAATATCTGAAGGCTCCAATTTCTCCATAGCATTTCCAAAATTTGCTAATATATGTATTTCTAATTATAATAGTCACAGTGGGTGTAGGTTGCTAAAGTGGTAGGTTGCTGTTTAACTTTCACTTCCCTAATGACTGATGATATTGAACATCATTTCATGATTTTATTGGCCATGTATATGTCTTCTTTGGTGAGGTATTCAAATTTTTTGTACATTTTTAATTTGGGTTATTTGTTTTCTTATTGTTGAGGCTTAAGAGTTATCTGTATATTTTGTGTGAAGTCCATTATTAGGCATATTTTACAAATATTTTCTGGTATTCTATGGCTTGTCTTTGGATTTTCCTGCATTTTTGAACAAGAGTTTTTTAGTTCTAGAATTATTGGTTGACAGTCTTCAGCTTCAACATTTTGAAGGAAATTGTCTGGTCTCCATGGTTTCTGTTGAGAAATTATCAATTTGACTCTGATGTGGATAGGTATGTATCTCTTTGAGTTCTTTGGAATTTGTTGAGCTTCTTCAGGTTGATAGATTTTCAAATAATTTTGGCCCTATTTCTCTGCTCTTCTTCTCTGAGACTTTCATTAAAGACATAATGATGTGCCATGGTGTGCCTGAGATATATGAGTTTCTATACATTTTCCTCAATTCAGCCTTCATTTTGTTTCTCTTACTAGATAACCTTTACTAGTCTGTCTTCAACTCTGCTCAAATCTGTAGTTTGTAGCTGGCTAGTGTTTTTTTTTCTTTCAATCATTGTCTTACTTAACTTCAGAATTGGAAATTATTTCTTTTTACTA